CGAAGTAGCCGGTCTTTCCCGATTAAGTATCGAACCTCGCGGCATGCCTTCACGACGGCTACCGGTCCGAAGTGGCCATATGTTACTCTTCATCTCCGCGTTCGGCATGACGTCACTCTACCGATGGACTTGGTGTGTGCCCCTCGGTGAGGCAGCTTCTTGAGGAACAATGCAAAGCCCCTTGTACTCGTATGCCACTCTCGAATAGTCGTAGCGTCCTGTGTAGTATAAAATCTGTTGTACTTCTCTCCAAAAATACAAGATCCGTTCCCCCCCTCTAGTTCAGAGCTCATAAGTCGAGTTCGCCCTGCGTCTACGTCCTCAACTGCGTCACTTCGTTCCTCACTGCGTAACCTCGAAACCTCGTCCACTGCGTCCACTCGTCGATACCGTCTCGACGAACCCTTCGACTTCGACTACTGTCGAAGAAACTGCGTTGCACCTCGAACCGCGTCCTAGTTAAGTCCCCCCCTATCAAATCGTGTCCCTTCTCTCTACGATACGTCGAAGAGCTCTACCGAGCTTCGATCGTCGCTAACCATCCACAGCCTCCGAGTAGCTTCGACGACGTGTCGAAGCCACCTCGTAGCTTCCCCATTGTTTGTAGCCTTTTTCCGAAGGCGTTTCTCGTGTTCACTCGAACCGCGGGACACCTTGCTGCTAACTCCCCTCTTTTTAGATTATAATCCGTCTCTCTAGTCCCTTTAGGTCGCACCCAGGTTAGGGGTTAGGGTTTCGTAGGTCGTATCAACGTCGAGAAGACGGTGTTCACGGTCACGGACATCGGTCCGAAAGACGTAATCGTTGGGTTGGATTGGCTGCGCGAGCACAACCCTGAAATCAATTGGGAGAAAGGCTCCCTCAAATTGTCGCGATGCCCTGAAACGTGCAGTGCCAGGAGGACTGGTCGAATGGAGCAGGCAACGACTGCGCGTGATACGGGGGTCAGGCCCACGGCGCGCAGACATTCGCCAAAGTCCAAACAATCGGTCATAGGTGCCTGCCGGAGTAAGGTACTCCCGGACTTCGAACCCAAAGAAGATCCGACGGAAGTAGAATGGGATGAGGCCGATTTGATCGAAGCCTGGGAGCAGGGTATCATGCTTCCCGGCGCCCCTAAGCTGTTCGTCGCAGCAGGGCATACGTACTTCCAGCTGTTCGCTGAGGAGGAGATCAGAAAGAAGGTCGTTAAAACCGCCGAGGAGTCGGTACCTAAACAGTACCACGAGTTCCTGAATGTCTTCTCAAAGGAGGCGTCAGAAAGGCTGCCCGAAAGGAAGCCTTATGATCACGCGATCGAACTCGTACCCAGCTACTCGACGTTCCATTCTAAGGTGTATCCCTTGTCGAACAATGAGTAGGAGGAACTAGACAAGTTCCTAAAGGAGCAACCAGCGAAGGGCTATATACGGGAATCGAAGTCGCCCATCTCGTCCCCCTTCTTCTTCATCAAAAAGAAGGAAGGGACGCTTCGACCCGTTGATACGACCTACGAAACCCTAACCCCTAACCTGGGTGCGACCTAAAGGGACTAGAGAGACGGCTTATAGTCTAATGAGAGGGGAGTTAGCAGCAAGGTGTCCCGCGGTTCGAGTGAACACGAGAAACGCCTTCGGAAAAGGCTACGAACGCTAGGGAAGGTACGAGGTGGCTTCGACACATCGTCGAAGCTACTCGGAGGCTGTGGAAAGTTAGCGACGATCGAAGCTCGGTAGAGCTCTTCGATGTATCGTAGAGAGAAGGGACATGATTCGATAGGGGGGGACTTAACTAGGACGCGGTTCGAGGTGCAACGCAGTTTCTTCGACAGTAGTCGAAGTCGAAAGGTTCGTCAAGATGGTATCGACGAGTGAACGCAGTGGACGAGGTTTCGAGGTTACGCAGTGAGGAATGAAGTGACGCAGTTGAGGACGTAGACGCAGGGCGAACTCGACTTATGAGCTCTGAACTCGAGGGGGGGGACGGATCTTGTATTTTTAGGAAGAACTACGACCGATTTTATACTACACAGGACGCTACGACTATTCGAGAGTGGCATACGAGTACAAGGGGCTTTGCATTGTTCCTCAAGAAGCTGCCTCACCGAGAGGCACATACCAAGTCCATCGGTAGAGTGACGTCATGCCGAACGCGGAGATGAAGAGCAACATATGGCCACTTCGGACCGGTAGCCATTGTGAAGGCATGCCGCTGATAGGCGCCGAGCCCCTCTGGGCCCCGATTCACCTCTTTTCGGCACTCGCATCCCGCCCGGCACTTCGACTCAGTCCCCAACACTTCGATTTCGCCTTCGACGCTCTTCGACACCTTCGACGGTGCGCGACGCTTACTCGAAGCTCGGCACGGTCTTCCCGATGCCTCGTGCGTAGACCTCGGAACATCTTCCGCATTCGGCGAACAATAGGGCCACTTGACGCCGCTCGGCCAAGCGCGCGCTTCGCTCCAAGCCACACCGAAGTAGCCGGTCTTTCCCGATTGGGTATCGAACCTCGCGGCATGCCTTCACGACGGCTACCGGTCCGAAGTGGCCATATGTTGCTCTTCATCTCCGCGTTCGGCATGACGTCATTCTACCGATGGACTTGGTATGTGCCCCTCGGTGAGGCAGCTTCTTGAGGAACAATGCAAAGCCCCTTGTACTCGTATGCCACTCTCGAATAGTCGTAGCGTCCTGTGTAGTATAAAATCTGTTGTAC